CCCAGTGATAGGGATTTTAGAGTCCTAAAAAGATGCGTTGGAAGACGCGATCGTGTATATATTCCAGAGGAATATGAGGAAATTATATTGTCATTTCGACAAATAAAACCATAAACAAATAACCTACGGAGATATTTTAGATTTTAATAATTAGTGGCCTCAGTTTTACAAAAAAAAAATACAACTGCTGTAAAAACCAATGAAGAGTTTTCTCTGTTAAATTATAGGCAGTTTGTATATGACACCAGTGGATATGTGAAAACTTATGAATATATAGGTGGTCTAGTATCTCATAGCAAAATAAAAATTGTCCACCCTTTCCTACCAAATGCGCTTACGTACAACAAATTTCAATAAATGTAAAAAAAATTAATGCCGTAAAAAAGGTAATGCAATATATTACAGGGGAATTGCTGGAATTTTACTATCACGTCACCTCCTGGTCCACATCTGCAATCCATGTAACGGAAGAAGTGGATGCTGAGTGGTGGTGGGGGCACCGCGGATCCCCCTCCAGCTACGTGCATGTGTTTTGTAATAATATGTTATAATAGTTTATTTGTCAACCTTGCATTATTTATAAAACAGAGGCTACTAAAAATAAAATATAAACTATATAATTGACTTAAAAAACAGTACATGTCCACAATATATTTTTTTAAATATTTTAGATACAAACCCTTTTTAATAGTTGAAACATGATCTCTTACACTCATCTTAAATAGCTTTACATTTGATATGTACATGTCAAATTTATGTCAAATAACAAAATAGTTATTTAGTTTTTTTTTTTATTTACTCAGAATGCCACTTTTGGACTAGTACTGTTCTTTGACTCACCGATTCATATTTACGTAACAGTTTTGGGATTTCACTACGTAACAGTATCTGTAATGATACTTATAAACAAAACGATACATAATAGACGATGAACTGTGGTGATTGTAGATAAAAAAAATTGTAATCTCGCGTTAAATGTACTTTATAGTCTGCGCGTTCTCATAGTCGTTTGACGGCAACAAAAGCCTAATGAATATTGATATAAAAAGTATATTTAGAATCGCATTGTAAATATGTTTGTCTTTCTGCAAGATTATCTTGTTTTAACGAATAATTCAAATTGAAATTTTTTTTTTTTTTAATACACTACCTAATTGTTATTTATTTGTAAACTTTCATGACACTAAAGTCCATCTAATCCAAAGATTTTGCCAAATAACAATATGGAAACTTTAAGGAACTCCCGCGCGATTTGTCTGTTAGTTTGTCTGCTAGGTTCAGCCTTATGAAATAATGTACGTGCTTGTTTAATGTAGTAGCTGCGCTATTTTTGAATTATTTATTTTGCTATATTTTTATCTTTTTGTCTTGAACTTTTTTGGAACAAATAATTTTAAACATTGAAATGCATTTAAATTATAATTTAATTTGTTACAAGAGTTAGTTACGGAATATACTGAGCAAATGCCTCCTTACAAACGAAAACACCAAACTTGAAAGATGATACAACAATAATCAAATTGCTTTTTCTTAAAAATAATGGAAAAATAGAGTTTATACCGTATACTTAAGGGGTAGATTCTTTATTTATAACCAAGATACAGAATGATTTATCCCTACTCCTAACTAATGTGCATTTCCCTATTAATCACTCTATATTAAAAAAATGTCTGTTAGCCCTTGAGACATTTGATGCAATCAAAGATGGTGTCCATAACTGCTTTTAAATAATTTTCGACCAATTAGTCGGATTTAGACCATATTTTTTAATCATTTTTATTATACAACTTACAGACTAAGAAAAAGAAGACTCGAAAACTGACTTACCTCATTTTCATTCCTTTTTTTTGCAACAAACGTCTTTCGTACAAGTTTTGGGAGAAACAAGCTTTTTAAACCGTTTTTATTAAGTCGTGATAATGTCGTTTGGTTGCATGAAAATTTATCGGTAGAACTAACTGAATTAGTCTTTTTCATCGTCTGAAAATAGTTTCATTTCTATCTAACTATAACATGACCACTTGTCTAATTCCAAATTATAATAAGGCACTAATGTAGCATGCACTGTTAATTACATAAAGAAGGTGTTTGAAGATTATATTCTTATAGTAATTAAAATGTAGTAGATGTAATTTTGTATGATTCTGCAGATACCTTTTCCTAACAATGGTTTGCTAAAAGGCATCCTCTATTTTTGGTATTGAGCAAATTTGTGATTTCATTAAATTTTTCTTAACGTACAGAAGTACGTACTAGACACGCATTAACTTTGCTCATAACATTTAGGGAATAGCTCATTTCAGAAGTCTTTTCTCCCCAACAACGAGAGGGAATAAACTATGCCTATGCCAGGATTGAGTAATGTCACCATCGTATAAGATCTAGTATGAATTGGAACAAATTTCTTTCTTGATTCTATCAACACTTCTGCAAAAATATTTTCCTTTTAGTAATGCAGCAGTTGCAGTAGGAATACATCAGAATTTCTTAATCCACAAAAAACACAATGCATCTTTTTTAAACATCCAAATTCACAAAGAGTCGCCCAACTTTCCCAGAACTGTAAATCTCCTGGGAGTCAGACTCGCCAAAGAGAGTGAAGTTGACTATTTGGGAATGCGATTTTCTAGTACCCTCAACTGGTCCTTGGATGTCCAACGCACTCTTAATAAGATACGACGGCGAGCCAGTCTCATTGGAGCCTTGAGTGGATGATTTGGACGAAGCAACCCTAATACTCACTTACAATTCTTGTATCTGTCCAGTTGCCGACTACAGAGTAGTATCTTACGGCGTACTTTTAACAAATCTTACCAACAAACTCTCTACACTCGAGAGACGAATACTCCGACGATACCAATCTGTTCCCATTCGCTTTCCCAGTGAAAAAGTTTTCGAAAACATCTCCAACACCCCCATTCTTACACGTTTTTAAACTCTCAGGAAACAATACGTCTCACACACACACACTGAAAGACTTAAATACACATTCCCAAAGTACTCTACAAACCCCCTGGCACCCTCAATGTCTTCAACTATTCCACAAACCGAAAAGAAAACTCAACCTAACATAAGATTACTCTCTGTCTCTCAAGATCTCCCACTTACCTCAGAGTTACAGTATCTATGGACTTTAAGCACCATTATCTCTAAGATAACGCGACCCATCCCAATCATATATAATACAGCCATTGTCATACTGCTGTACAATATCGTGATTTAGGTTTTCGTGGTTTCCCTAAATCGTATTTCCCAACTTATAATATACACACAACTTGCCACGCACCGCAACAGGAGAACTCTTATAGCAGGCCTGCACAACTCAAATTTTCCAAGGGCCAGATTTGGAAAACCGTAACTGGACGAGGGCCGCCAAGAGAGGCCTGAGCCTACAATAGTCAGATTTCTAAAAAAAGGTCGTCGGGTCAGATTTAAAAAAAAAAAGGTCGACACCTTTCATTTATAAACCAACTCATGGATTTATCGAAAAAATGAAAAAAAAGTTGCTACCTTTATAAACCAACTCCTGCTGGTCAAACTTCTAAAAAAAAAGGTCGACATCTCCTGCTTGTCGAGCTTGTAAAAAAAATGTCAACTGATCGAGTCAGCCTAAATGCAAGTTTGTTACTAAAAATAAAAAAATGTATAATTTGACGTAAGCGGGCCAAACTGTTCAACAGCCGGCGGGCCGCCAAAACGACACTGGCGGGCCGTATGTTGTGCACCCCTGTCTTATACTATCCATCGGTTCCTGTTTATTGTTCAGCAATAATTGCATCCATTTCTTTGGGAGGATATCAAGTTTTGTATTTGCCTTTACAACTTTAAAACGAGAGGAACTCACTATACAAAATCAGGGAATTACCATCTATAAGACAGATCCATCAGGAACAGAGCATATGCTTACTGTAACAGTATCTTCATACAAGTTAAAACTTTAGAATTTGAAATAATCCATGATTCAGGAACTCTAAAATCACCACAGTTTGCCTTCAATCATACGCGAGAGTCTGTTTTTTTATTAAATCTAAAACAGAGCATATGCTTACTGTAACAGTATCTTCATACAAGTTAAAACTTTAGAATTTGAAATAATCCATGATTCAGGAACTCTAAAATCACCACAGTTTGCCTTCAATCATACGCGAGAGTCTGTTTTTTTATTAAATCTAATTCTATCATTATCATTAGGTACACAAAAATTTATTTTAGTTTTCCCCGAAAAATTAAGAAGACGTTTAATGCCATTTTTATACATAATTATAGACTCTTCCCTATTTTCGAATGCCATCTTTGTTTGTGCGATTTTCTCAAGGACAATTAACTATTACCTGTAATTTCTTTAACATACAGGGTTGGGATAAAGTATGGAACCACGTAAATATCTTTAAAACGAAAGGGACGATATTTATGAAACTTTGCGGGCAAGTACAATGACGCATAACGCATCTGATGCCATATTTTTTGCTACTACTGTATGTACTCCCGTTTCACCGGAAATACTCTCAACTTTTGTAATTTAAAGGGGACACCCTGTATATTTTTGCAGATTTTAAAAGATCTTGTTATTTCGAATTCGTACATACTAAGTTTAGTGGAAATTATTTGTTAAAGTAATTTTAGACTAATGAGAATAAAAGTTGATGGTATTTCCGGTGAAACCGTAAGTACAGTAGTAACAAAAAATATATAAAAATGAAAAAGTTAGGATGCCAATTTTTGGTAATCAGTAGATACAGATTCTGGACTATAATTCCTTTATAGAACTCTAAAATTTGATGTTTTCGTTTAGCAGGAAAAATAATTCATAAAAATTTTATTTTAATTTGGACAATCTTCGTTTATTGAAAATATTTTTTTATTAATTAATAGTTCTGGTATGACACATTTAAAAATCAACAATTCTTTTAGGACGTTTCGAGAAAATGCCGCAGTGTTTCGTTTCCACATGCTCCAATTATTATGGAAAAACTCGCAAAAATTCCAAAATAATTTACCATATGCTGCCAACTTCTCCGCAAATGGTTTTAAAGTGGACCGAAGTCTGTAGAGAAGACGAGGAAAATCCAACTCTTCACGCCAGAGTTTGCAGCGCCCATTTTTCTGATAACTGTTATCAACGAGATTTACAACACGAGTTGCTTGGACTACCTTTAAGAAAAAAGTTAAAACATGATGCCGTACCAGACTTGAACTTGCCTGTTAAAATTAATAAACAGAAAAAACAAGTTCATAAATCTGTAATTAGGTACAATCAAGTACAGAAAGATGCATGTGTTCCCACAAAAAATAAAATCAGTGAGAACAAAACTAAAACAAAAAAGCAACCAAATTTTAAAAATGAAATAGCAAAAAATAAAAGTGCAGGTAAAAAAGTGGTGGAAAAGCAACAAAATATTACCATAATTGACATTACTACAGACGAACCAATAGTAAGACGAAAAAATGTAATAAAAAAGTTGCCAAATTTAACCGCAGTCAAACATAAAACAGAAATGAAACAGAATTTGGTAAAAACTAAAAGCAACGAAAAAATCATTGCCAAAAAACAGCTTAGCACATTAGATATGAATAAAATTAATAATTTTAAAACTACAGAAGTGCAAAAAAGAAGCAAACCTAATGAAGATATGATCGTTTTTAAACATATTCCTATAATTGAAACTAAATTAATAAAACCCAATCCAATAAAGACTAGAAGTAATAAAGCACAGCAACATACTGTTGGTGATAATAACGGTTTTAAACAAATCACTGAAAAAGAAATAGTTTCCAAAAGTAAAGAATATAATGTAAAAAGTACCAATACTAATTACCAAAATCAAGCATCAAAAGAAACTAATAATAATAGCAAAGTGGAAACATTGGATAAAATTATTAAGTATGATATTACGAACACTATCAATCAAGAATTACAGGACAATTTAATTGATCAATTTGATAAAAATAACGATAAAATAAAAAGAATGCCAATGAGGTCGAGTATTAGAATTGCGAAAAAGAAATCAATCGAGTCATTAAGTGATTCTTTTACGGATAAGGTCAATAATAAAAGAGACAATAATCGCGAACGATTTTCTGATAAACTCAAGTTTATGGCCATGCTGCAGCTGAAACACGAAAAAAACAATCATGCTGTGGTCGATTTGGATCAATTTTTTGAATGTTTAGTCGACGAAGAGAATTTTGGGTAAGTTATTTGGCAATAATTATTATTTTGTTTAATTATAGGTAATGTGCAATATATAAGCTTTATTGTAATTTAAGTAAAATAAATGATTAATTTAAATTTTATGTATTTTCCACTGTTAAATTTATAGTAAAATAATTTTAAAGGTTTTTCTACTGACTACTATTTTCTAAATCTACCCTTCTTACAAAATAAGACTATATATACTATTAAAATTGCATAAATAGACAATGTTATTTTACCGAGGCCGAAAGAATCCGTCCAAGAACGCAATAAGTCGTCTGTGCGTGCTTATGTATATATACATCAATGTATGTGTGCCGATAATTCCAGAACGAAAATGCTGGTCGACTTGCGGTTTTGATTTAATTTGATAATTTCTTCCAGCTAAGAAACCTATTGATTTTCAGAATTTTCGGTTCAACTTTAACGCTTAAAATGTCAGTGTTTTAAAATAATGCAACGTATTTTTATGGAGTTTATTTTAGGAAGTACAGCACGGGTATTGCTGTCATTCTTAAACGTCAAATAAAGTTTTTTTTAAACGTATTTTGAAGGATTTTATTTGAGTGGTTATTGTAACTGAAAATGGTGAATGAAAATAATAATTGATTTATGTTTAAATAAATATTGATCTTAAGAGAATAACATAGTGAAGTAATGATGATTTTTAACGAACACCAGAATGTGAATTTAATATTACGGTCAAAAACGTAAAGGGTCAAAATATTATTTTTGCACGGGTAGGCTTAAGGGGTAAATGGTCCAAATATTTTTACATCTGCAGGTATAAGAGGTAAATGGCCCAATTATTTTTACATGGAGAGGCGTAAGTGGTAAAGGGACCAAATATTTTGGTATGGACAGGCCTTGAAAAGGACAATAACTCATAACAAGGCATCAAGAAAATAAGATATCTTAGTTATTTATTTGTTTAATATTTATTTGTCTTAAAGGTTTTTATTTAAATTTACTAACATTTTATTGCAATTAGGAGATCCTTCCATGTGAAATTGTTTTCGACTGGTAACAAAATAAGCATGTATCTTAGGAGTGTGTTTATTAATTAGTTATAATTTAATGCCTACTCTTCTGTAACATAACATCAAAATGGCACTCAACACTTATTTTTTCAAAAGTCATTTCAACAATATTTAAAATTTTATAAGAAAAAATACACACTATTTTCCTTATTTAATTATTGTTGTCTTGTACACTAAACTGATGAAAAATAGTAAAATTCTCACTGGGTGGTTATTATTATAAGTATATGGTATAGTATTTTTCTTCTCGTTTTTACTTTCCATTTCGTTTGTTACATAGAGTATGATTAGTGGACATTATTAAATTACCATTTTTTACAAAAAATTGGATACAGACGTATTTTTCACTGGATAAACTGAAATTTTCTGACAGATCGCAGTCATTATTTCTTTTTATTTGCGGTACCTCATCTTCTACCGACATCTGGTGTTTTTTTTTATATACTATGCAATTTTTGGAGCCATATTTTAAAAAAAAAGGAAACACCTGAAGAAAGGCGAAATGTCCGTCGAATATTGTTTTGAGAAAATCAAATTTTTAACTTTAAAGCCCTTACTAGCTTAGAATGATTTAAATAATTTATGATCTTTTATGCTAACTTATTATATACACTATTTTATATTATATTATGTGATGGACAGACTTTTAAAAAATACCAATATTTATAAAAAAAATTGCTTTATTAAATGAAAAACCTTATTAACACGGAAAAAAAGCGAAATGCCTCATATAGGTATAATAGAAAATGGCCCTTGATATTATTGTTTTAAATAATCGCTTGTCAATTTTTTCTTTGTTAGCTATGAGGTAAGCCTCTTTATAAAACAATCTGGCATTTTTCGAGGTGGAAAACTGACTGAGATGGACCAGATCTTTATATTTTTCCAGCGATATCTTTCTTGCACTTGTAAAGGAAAAAAAACACCTCAAAGTAGGACAACCCAGAATGGTTTTAAAAACACACTTACCTCTGTATAACTTTAGTGGTAAGATAAACTCTCTCTCTGGTAGTTGCAATACATCAGGGTAGCTATTCTTGAATTCCAGGGAGTAGAAAACCGGTTTGTCCTCTTTATCTGCAACGCATAAAATTTGTATTTTTGTCTCATTCTTCCCTCAAAATTTCTTCTCCCCAAGATTCAAGAATAGGTACCCTGGAGTCACAATCGGCTTCCGGATAATCGACGAATTCCATTGTCCATTATAGGTATCTCTGTGCTCTAAAAGTCGTGGATAACAGTTTGATATTTTCAGCTCTCTGATTGGTCTTGATTTATATAGAGGTTTACTAACGTAACTACTGTCCAACATTTGAGACCAGTTCCGTATAAGTGATTGGTTGACTTCTATGACAATGAATGGATTTGGTTTTACTCTGGATGATCTAATTTCCCTGTACCAGTCTTCCGGAAGTTCTGCTCTTATTTTCTGATTGATCACGCCCATATATCGATCAAACTCCATATAGAAGTGCCCTCGTATTGGAAAAGTTATTTCAGCTGTGTCTAGTATTTTCGTAACATTAACAACCTCTACATGAATCACAAAATATGTAGAGGTAACGAACACTAGCATCAAGCTGAACAAAGATAAAATTATGAAAAATTGATACTGCCTCATTTTTGAGCCTTTGCTATGGTTTCGTCATTAGTCGGAATATTAAAAATGGGCAGATTTAATTCACGGCCGTTTTCCGAGCTTTTCTTTTTCACTGATAGAAAATCTCAGCTTTAACTTTATATATTTTGTTTTGCAAAGTAATTTTTTATCTTCAATCTTCTTTTGAGCAGATGAGTCATTTGCTATATTCAGTTTCTCCTGCAGTACCTTCAGCTCAGCTGTGAAGTTGAAGGTACTGCAGGTATCAGAACGGGGATAACCGAAACTATTGTTAAAGAGTTTATTAAAAATGTTACGCTATGTTTCGTATGAAACAGGAGAAAGATTTATGATATTGTAAATATTGTACATTTTCTTGATACTTATGTCTTCTATAAGGTAAACTTTTTTAGTTTTTTTTTCCACTGTAGTGGCTTTCTCTTCCTTTAAAACTCCTATTCAAGAACTTCATTTAGTCTCTCCTGCGACAATGAATGTTTCTTTTTATCTATTGGCGCACTCCCTGATAATTTTAAACTTTTTTAAATATTTTCAAGTCTCTTTCGACCGATCCCATGGAAGCTTAGTGTCGGCAGTTCCATTATCAGTCAGTAACTCTAAAAGAGTATGAAGAATCGTGCAATTTAGGTGTGGCTTCATTTCTAGCTCTTCGTACATAAAAGATTAGATATGATCAATTTATAACTGTGGTAGTTTCTAATTTTTGAAAAAAATTTAAATGGAAAATACTTGCGAACCTTCACTTTTTGCAAAAACAAACATTGTAGTGCCGTGTAGAGTTCCGTTTTTAATTAAATTTTTAAATTTTTTCATTGTTAAAACGATGTAGAATGTGTATACAGGAAAGAGGATGCCATTTTGAACACCTGTTAAATTAAATTATTGTACTTTGAGGTTGTGACGGCCTCCCCCCAGGCCCCTTCTTTTTTTGTGATTTTATTCTTGTGTTTTACTCTGTGAAATTGTTATTATTTATTTACCTCACAAGTTTTATTTTACTTTAAATTCTTTACTTACTGTATTTGGCCTTTTTCCTCTAGTTAATTAATTGATATTTTATGTACCCACGTTGTGATTATGTTAATTAAGGTAAACCAGAATTAGATGCAAAGTTTGGTGCAAATTGATAAATAAAACATACAAATTCATATTTGAACTCTTTTTATTTTTCATACTTTAAATGTGATGCAATAATTAGCAAAGTATATTACAATTGTTACTATTTACTGAGATCTCACTTGAGTCCCGTTCAAACGCAGACCATATTCATTTGCTATCAATATATATTTTATTTAGGTTGATGACCAACAGAGTTAACAAACAGCGTCAATTCGCCAGTTGATTAACTATAGTGTTGTTGTTATATTCTGACTTAGGTTGCTGACCAACGGAGTTAAGGAACAGCGCCAATTCGCCAGTTGATTAACTATTGTGTTGATGTTTATATTCTTATTTAGGTTGATGACCAATGAAGTTAACGAACAGCACCTTACTGTGTTGATTTCACATATACTTTCTTTCAAACCTTGTAGAACGGGTTGCTTGGCGTATAGGTGTCCCCCCTCGAGCTAACGAACAGCGTATTCGCCAGTTGGTTAACTTACTTTTAAATTTTACCATCTTGGTTTGTACAATTTATCCAAGATAGCACATCCCTGTATATTTCTAAAATATTGATTTTTATAATTTCTATTGAGTTAACTTAATACAACCCTGTATATGTTTTAATATTGATTATTATAATTTCTATTGAAATAACTTAATATAACCCTGTATATTTCTTAATATTGATTGTTATAATTTCTATTAAAATACTCAAAATTTCACCCATCGAACACAGATGTCTATCCTGTACTTCGGGGTGTATGACCTGAAGGCCATGTGGTTTATTGATAATATTTTACAGCAAATGTCAAGCGTGCCCTTAAACGAAACCGGGGTGGTATCTCAAAGAAAGATACGTAAATCTTTTGACTCACCACTGAAAATACATACATTAGATTATGTACTAATTTCATCTAGCGTCGTGGAAGGCGTCGATTTAGGTACGTCGCGGCGTTGGGCGTCGCCTCGCGTCGAGACGCCTAGCGTCGTGGTGGAAAGGAAGGTATTTAATACTGTATTTAGACAGATATACGGTAGAATTATGTAGGTGGTGCGGGACGTGATATGAAGGAAATATTTATGGCCGGCAAGCGTCGGAAATAAGGCGTGGGACGTTGAGCGTCGAAATGAGTGTACGGTAGGAAATACTTAGATGGTGGGGAATGTGACAGCGTTCGAGACGTAAGGAATAAGACGGCAGGACGTTGGCGTCGAGACGTTGACACATTCGGGGATAGGAGGT